GGGAATGGGCTTATAGATGCCATTTGGAAATGTTGATCTCGTAAGAGATTCCTTAGCGAGAATTTGCGTATTTGAGAAAGAAAGATGGTTTCCTGACTTGCTACAGGTGTTGATCTTCAAACTCTTCATGCAGATGTTCCCTGGCTAGGTACAGGTATCGAATCTGGAATCAATTGCTTACAGATATGCCCTGGCTAGATACAGGTATCGAATCTGGAATTAGTCGTCTACAGATATGCCCTGGCTGGATACATGTGTCGAATCTGGAAATTGTCGTCTACAGATGTGCCCTGGCTGGATACAGGAATCGGATCTGGAATTGGTCGTCTACAGATATGCCCTGGCTGGATACAGGTGTCGAATCTGGAAATTATCGTCTACAGATGTGCCCTGGCTGGATACAGGAATCAGATCTGGAATTGGTCGTCTACAGATGTGCCCTGGCTAGATACAGGAATCGGATCTGGAAACTCTCCATGCAGATATGCCCTGGATGGATACAGGTATCGAATCTACATTCAATCACTTATAGATATGCCCTGGCTAGATACATGAATCGAATCCGGAATTGTGACAGTTGATAGTAATCATCTTTGGATTGTCCTTTTTCCTGAAAAGGCAAGACATTAGTCGTATGCAATGTCATGATGTATGAGATGCATGATGTCATGATGTTCTCAAGAATAAGTGAGATTGTGTGATACGATGCGTATATGCATGCATCATGGTGTATGATAATGTGATGAATGTATTTTTGTCTAGGAAAATAAATCCTTGACGACCGTCGGGAGTTTGTGGAATTCTGGGCTGATGTTTTGAAGAGTAGAGTTCTTCGTTTCCGCTGGGGATGATGGTTGCAAGAATAAACCGGTAGGAGAAGACGACTCCGTTGGGGAAATAAACTTGGTGAAGAGATTACTCTGCGGGGCATTACTCTGTGGGAAGAGATACTTCGCTGAGGTTTTGATGAGAGCTCTGCTGGGGATTCCACTGATAAGTTATGTTGGGGAATTTGATGAACTCCGCTGGGAATAGGAAGAACTTCGCCGAGGACGATCTTTCCGTGGTAATTAGCTGAGGATAACTCAGTTATAAGCTCTGGTGGGAAATAACCTTTGAATGAAACCAGAGAGATGAGTTCGTACTCTGCAGAGGATAAGCTTCCAGAATCTACTGGGGATAAGCTTCAGAATCTAATGGGGAGGATGATTCAACTTTCCTGGGGAAATTTTTTTCAGATTGTACTGTGGAGTGGCTCCACTAGGGTGTCTTGTATTCCGCCGGGGAACAATCTTATATTAAGACTGCCGAGATGCTTGCTGGGGAATGTCTATACTCTGCTGGAGAATGTTGATATTTTCTGGGGATACCCAACTTTCTTAAGGCTGACAGTAGACTAACTCGGCTTGGGGAGAGTATCGCCGACTTGCTGGAGATACTGTGCCTTTTCAGGGTTGATGGGAGACCAACTCTGCCTGGGGAGAGTGTTGCTGGAATCTGGTCTTACTCTGCGGGGAGTTGAGGTAACTTTGTTACATTCTTCAGCCGAATCTACCTTAGTACCTCGGTGGACAGAGCGACTGGATTGCTTGGACAATTCTTTATTGCCCCTGTTTCTAATGTCACCTGTAATTAGTCCTTTGTTTCGCATGCAAATATTTATGATTAGCAATTAATGTCAAATGCATATATCAAAAATGAACATTGGACATTCTTTGCAAAACAAAACAGAAAAAGGAAAAGACAATGGGTAATTTGTCTGAAAAATCGAACTTGTATTGATTCTTGAATTTGCCTGTAAATAGGCTTTTTTGTACAAGAGGCTGACGTCCTAGTAAGAGAACGCCGCCGAACAAAATAGAGTTTATACAATTTGTGAAAAGAAACAAAACAGCTATGTGAAAAATAATCCCACTGGGTTCCAACTCTGCTATCGCCTTTATGTCTTCAAGCGTCTCATCACTTTGCTGTTTAGTTGAAGATGAAGCTGATTGATTGGAGTCATCTGAGCCCGATAGTTGATGCTGAATTCTGGATGCAAGGTGATCCAATGATACATAGTATTACGCTTTATCCCTAACTTTTGCCTGGACCGCCCTTTTGGGTTTTCAGTCCAACGGGATACCCATTTTTGCCCAAGCCGCCTTTTCAGGTTTTCGACTTGCCGGGTGTACAGATTTTTTCATTTCATCCCTTATTTTTGCCCGAACCCTTTTGGTTCGCCGGGAAGCCCTTATTTTTTCCTAGGTGTGTCAACCTAGCGGGTCTTTAATTCATGCGTAGTATCTTTTTACTATGTCTGCATTGGCGGGGTGAGGAAGGTTGTCACCATCCATGGTGGTTAGAATCATGGCTCCTCCTGAGAAGATATGTTTAACCACAAATGGCCCTTCGTACGTAGGGGTCCATTTGCCCCTGGGATCACTTTGAGGAAGAATGATGCGCTTGACTACCAGGTCTCCGACTTGATACTCTTGTCGTCTGACCTTCTTGTTAAATGCCCTAATCATCGGTTTTTGGTACGCCTGACCATGACAAATAGCAGTGAGTCTCTTTTCGTCAATTAGGTTTAATTGATCAAGCCGAGTCTGGATCCAATCATCTTCGCTCAAACCTGCATCCTTCGTTATCCGGAGAGAGGGTATCTGGACTTCAATAGGCAAGACTGCCTCCATGGCATAGACCAAGGAAAAGGGAGTTGCCCCTGTTGACGTCCGTGCTGAGGTGCGGTAACCATGAAGAGCAAATGGTAACATTTCGTGCCAATCTTTGTAGGTCACTGTCATCTTCTGCACAATCTTCTTGATGTTCTTATTCGCCGCTTCTACAGCCCCGTTCATCTTCGACCGGTAGGGAGAAGAGTTGTGGTGCTGTATCTTGAATTGCTCGCAGAGCTCAGTGATCATTTTGTTGTTAAGATTGGTACCATTGTCCGTAATGATCCTCTCAGGTACACCGTATCGACAGATCAGGTTGTGCCGAATGAACCGTGCCACAACGTTCTTGGTTACGGTAGCATAGGAAGCTGCTTCAACCCACTTTGTGAAGTAATCAATCGCTACCAAGATGAAGCGATGCCCGTTGGATGATGTAGGTCTGATTTCGCCGATCATATCAATGCCCCACATTGCAGAAGGCCAAGGTGTTGTCAAGACGTTCAGAGGAACCGGAGGAATGTGCACCTTATCGGCATAGATATGGCATTTATGACAAGTTCGAGAATGCTGATAACAGTCGGCTTCCATTGTGGACCAGAAATATCCTGCGCGAAGGATTTTCTTTGCCATGGTATGTCCACTCACTACAAGAAAATTGGCAGATTGCGACAGGTGTTTTTGTAGATTACGACGGTTAAAACCGTCGCAATTTGCTTTCCACGACGGTTGCTTTACCGTCGCAGAAGTGTGTGTCCCCAACCTATTTCGCGACGGTTACAAAAACTGTCGTTCTAGTTTACGACGGGTTGATACCGTCGTGACTATCTTTTGAGTTTCTTTTAATTATTGATGGCGACGGTTCGATACTGTCGTGAATATCTTGTGAAATTGATTAAATTGTTTATGGCGACGGTTCGATACCGTCATGACTTTTGTTGATTATTTTTAATTGTTGATTACGACGGTTCGGTACTGTCGCCATGACTTTTGTTTATGTCTTGATTTTTTTTTATTTTTCTATTATATATATTTTTTATTTAAATTATTATCTATGTAAAAAATTTTAAATATAGTTTTTTTTTGTGTTATTTTTTTCTTTAAATTATTTCTTTAATATATTTATTTATAGTATTATTTTTTGTTTTATTTTCTATCACTTTGTAATATAGTAAAAATAATTTCAATAAAAAATATTTAACATCAAATAAGCATTATAATATCCAAAAAAATGTGTGTTCCATAATCATGTAAAATGCGAGTTCCATAATCATGTCAAGTAGTACAAAAAACCCAAAATATATCAATTCCTAATCTTATAATAATAAGTATCATTATGCCAAAAATACATGAGAAAGTTCACAATCTAATTATCTCGATCATAGCAAAGTCTAATTTGTCCCCCCTAAAGTTCCATTATCTCCAATACGGTAGCTAGACTCATATGAACGTCTACCATCAGCGGGTGATTCTAATCCCTAAAAAAAGGTATTAAAATAATAATCTTTAAAATAATACTCATAAAATTTAACTTTAAATGCGTCAAAATAATATACCTGTCTTCCACTAAAATTCTGCATTTGCATTAAGAGTTCAATTTCCTTTGTCCTCGCCTTGTCCCTTTGCGTTAAGAATATGATTGCCTGTGTTAGGATTTTAAAGTGCTTTTGCGGTCCCGTATGAATGCGATTGCAAACATTGCAATTTTGGTTATTACAATTGCTTATAAGAATAATGTATTTGTAAAGGCACACTCAAATTTAAGATAAAATTCTTATAAGATAAAATTCTTTAGTCTAACACTATTAAACAGTGATATAGTAAAGGCACACTCAAATTTAAGAATGAAATCATACCTCAAAGACGCACGAGGGTTTGAAGAGCAGCGAAGCAAGTGGAAGAGAAAAGTTACCTGCAACAAAAACCAAAGCAGCATATCAATAGTTGGTAGAAATCATAGATTTATCAAATAGAAATCTTATATTTTTCAACAGCTCATATCCCTTTAAATCCAACAAAAACATTATTATTTTCATTCTAGTGCAGAAGACACTTCATGTTTCAGATGCATGAAGGGGTGCAGCTCAGTTTCTTGAGAAGAAGGGGTTCACTCAATTTACTCCTCACCTTATAACTTGGTACTGCCCTAATGATTTTCTCTTAAGCAATCAATGCAAGTCTCAGTGTATAAACAACGGCCGGTACTGTGCTCCAGACCCTCAATAGCATCTATGATATAATTTAACAGAATTCCAGATTACTAGATCTGTTTTGTATTATTTATAAACTGTCAATGTTTTTCATATGCTCTAGCTTGTGTAAACATTTCTCTACCACATGTTAATTTTAGACCCTACCAACAGGAGAAACTGGTGGATTAGAAACATAACTTGTAGGAATATCTTCTAATTTACCAAAAGCCTTTAGTTCCTCGGTTTGCGACTTTCTTGTTCCAGAAAGCTCACATGGCATCTTGCTATCAACTAATGCAATGCAAATGGCGAATGCTTGCAAAAGTGAGAGCGACGAGTCAAAGGCTACAAAACTCATACCATTTTCTAAGGGGTTAAGCTGAATGCTGGGCACGGATCGTGTTTGTTCCCCTGTGGTTAGCAAGAAAAGAGATGCACCAAACGAGACAGATGAGATTTATTATATTCAATAACATTGAGCTCAAAGGACAGTTGATAAAGAATTTTGGATTCGGGAAAAAAAGAAATCTAACCTGCTGTCAAAACTCTTTCCTGTTTCACTATCAACAACAGAAGACTTACTCATACCAGGCTTGGCTATACGGATTATATGTTCACATTCCTCACTGTTATTTTCTCCTGCAAGTTTCATTTTGTTATTTTCAATAAACTACATAGAGACCAATTAGTTAAACAGTTTGGAATTGGATACCTTGGTTTGGCTTGTAAGCAGAAATGAAATCTGTTCCACTCAGATATTGTATTGGTTTGGTGCCGGTTCCCAAATACGATTCGTAAGCGTTCTCCATAAATCTGTTCAATAGTTGACCACTCCATTTGTGTTTTTGTTTCATCTTTTTGATTTCTTCAACCCCTTTTAACAAATTTTGAACACATCACCCATAGAACAATAAAACAAACATTGAGATCAACTAAGACGAGACATTTAATTACCTACTCCTGAAAGGCCAAGGGTATAGATATATGCAAACTTGATAAACCAAAGACATGTAGCATAGTTTTCTGGAAGAAGTTTGTGTTTAGATTGCATTGATATATTGCAATGTTGATAATTTTGGAACACTTTGTGTTTCTCTTCAATATTTTTACATCCTGCAATTCAACTACCGTTTCATTTTTGGGTTATGTGTTTTATATGCTACTGTAAGATGTAATTCACACATACCATATGCAGCAGTAGAAGTAGTTTCTTTCATCAGCACTCGCTTAACAAAGGGTATAAGTGGATAAGCATACTCTTTACATTTTTGAAGAAAGAGATAACATGTGTCATAGTTCTTTGGACATTTCTTGTGTGAGCTTGATTCATATTGTTTCATGGCACAATATTTGACAGCTTCTTCCACATTCAGGATTCCCACAGGTATACCTTGTAATGCATAAATGTATTAAAACTATGCATAATGGACAGTAATATACACAATATTGAAATGTTGCACACTTACAGTGGTATAGAATCCTCTTCCACCATATCATCTTGCATCCACTTTTGAATGCTGAGGGCCTAGTAGAAAGAAGTTTGAGAGGACTAAATCCATGTCTGTTCGCAATGACAATAAGATCCGGATATTTATCTATAATTATAAGCGCCAAATTTGTTGCAATATACACAAATATTAGTATTTTATATACAGTTTTTCTGACACTCCAGATTTTCATGCAGGTTTCTGCATAAATGCATGTGGAATCCGATAGGAATAAGCAAACATGCAATTTAAGTAGAAACATTAATTACCGAAAAATTCTCTCCTGATGGCACAGTGAAGAATACTATCTCCATTGCTTCTAATAAGATCTTTAGAATAAGAATAATTCCCACCAACATCGCAATCACTCTTACTCGGTTTAAAGTTGAAGAGATAAACAAACGTTCGTTTTTGCCAAGACAATGCAGCAAGAAACAAAGGACTCTCTCCATTGTTGTTATCGATATCGATCAAATACTTCCTTTCACCATTCATTCCAATTATACATTCACATATATCTTTGAATCCTCTTGATGCTGCAAGGTGCAATGCAATGTCACCCTCCTTAAAGGGCTTGACCTGCTTCTACCAGCATCACCAGGTTTATCATTTCCTGAAATGTTTAAGTTATCACAACCTCTCACATTGTCTAAACTATATTCAGCAGCTTTTATAGAGTTCTGATGCGGCACGTGCCCAGTCTCTTTACAAGCAGAACCTCTACTTGTATAGCTGGTGCTGCTTAATTGACGAAAAGGTGAAGAGCTTCTTGACTTTCCAGATTTAAAATATAATTTGTTGATTTGAGCATGAGTATAATACAGTTAACTAGCCATTAACTATAAACACTGAAAATGAAATTCTCACCTTAGCAATAGACTTTGAGCAGCCAAAGAAGCAGCGGAATATTTCACCTCTGCAATAACAGCAGGGGTTGCAAGGGAGTTAAAATCTAGACAGGTATGTTATATTAAGATGCATCAAACTATAAACTTTTTATACACGTGAATAAAACAGAATGCATCATTAGGAAAAGCTATGTTTAACTGTTGCACTAAAATTCTTATAAAATTAATATTGAAAAGTTTGAATATCATCACAATTTGGCACACAAATTGGATTTCAATTGAGTAATTCCACATCTGAATCTTTATTATTAAATAGCCTCCATGCAAGTAAGAACACCTTATGAGGCACCAATTTGTTCCAGATAACATCACAAGTTGAAGAATCATTTATGTTGACATGATCCATGCAAGTAATAACACCTTATGAGGCACCAATTTGTTCCGAATAACATCACAAGTTGAAGAATCATTTATGTTGACATGATCCTGTTCATATGGTAATCTCTTTTGAATGAATAGCATTCTCTCGAGTTCTAATTTCACATCCAAACATTTAACATATTTTCAAAACGTTAGCCAACAAAATCCTACCACCTCATCTTCCTATTGACATGGTCTCTGTTCCCCGTCATTCTAAATAACCTACTAAATCTATTGAAATTCTTGAGCAGCTCTCCTCCCACTCAGGATCAAACTAAAAATATGTATCTGACCATTTCCTACCAACTTTATACCTGGAATGTAATCTCTACCATTCACCAACCCATACTTAGTGAAAGTTGCCAAGCGGAGACCCCACGTAAATCACAGAAGAACACGAGTGTTTTTCTATTAAAAACAGGAAGTCGTAATAAAAAAACGGTGCCTGATGAGAGAATCAGAACATCTCCTCTTTAGGAATCCTCTTAACCTCATTCTGGTCCTGGTGCCTTCGAAATACTGTCCTAAAGCCAGGAAACTTAACAAGGGGAGTGACTGATATATCAATATTATTATTACAATTGCAAAACGACTACTATCCCATTTGGATCAGTATATGGTCCTCTTATATCAGTTTTATGCCTAAAACAACAAATTAGAAAACCTAAAAAATCATAAAAAGAAATAAAACCCTAAAATAACAAATTAGAAAACCTAACATCAATTCAATATATTCAAACTCAAAATCAATCATCACAAAGAGCTCAACCATAAGATTCAAGTGAATCTCCAATGCTGAAATCAATGGCAGAGAATGAGAGAGATGAGAACAATGCAAAAAGTGATACATAAAACTTACTGTGTTTGAAGAGATGAACGCAGAGGATGTAGTTTCCATTGCTGTGCGTTTTTTGGTGTGAAGATGAGCGATTTGAAGAGATTCCTTTCGGTGTCAAGGGGTTTCTTTCGGTGTGAAGAAGAACGGGTTTGAGTTTGCACTATAAATCATTATAATTAATTCATTTCTATTATAATGAGAATCATTTTTTCATTCAACTTTGTGCAAATGCATTTTTGTGGAATATTTTTAATCTCGAAAAGAAATAAAAGTGAAGAATAATGAACTCATAAATTTTCAATATTTTAATTTCTTTTAGTTCTAAGATCTTTTTTAGTACTAGACATTGGATAATATATTTTAGGGTTCATAATTTGTAAATCTAAATTTTAATTTCATGTTATATTTGAATGTGTTAATGATGGATATAAAATCAAATCTATATAAATCTCAAAAAAAAATTGTTTAAATCTTATTTGGTGCTTGTTTTATTTAGCTGATTATAGACTTGATCATTCTATCATTTCACGAAACTCCAAGAAACAAACTACTCTAGCTTTTCCATTTGTTGAATCTGAGTATCGTGCTCTTGTTGCTTCAACTAGAGACTTACAATGGATCTCATTTCTTCTTTATAATTTAGATCGAACCTCTGTGATACAATTTATATTATAAGTGATAGTCAAAATGCAGGAGTAGAAAGTGAATGGATGTTTTATGAGATTTTTAACTTTTTTACGGCGACGGGTGTTTTACCGTCGTGCCCATGAAAATTTTTAAAGGTTTTGGATGCGACAGTTGTTTTACCGTCGTGAAATGAATTTTAGGACGGATAATTTTACCGTCGTGAAAGGTTTAAGGGTGCGACGGGTGCTTTACCGTCGTGATATGCCTTTTAGGACGGTTAATTTTACTGTCGTGACTAGTTGTTGGTGAAAAATCAATGTTAAAAGTGTTAAATGGGGGCCGACGGTTGTTTTACCGTCGTAATAATAATATTATGATGGTTAAATATACCGTCGCAAAATAAATATTAGGGACGGTTGGTGTCAACTGTCATAAACACTGTCTCTATATGTCAATTACGACAGTTATCACATAACTGTCGCAATTTTTGTGTCGTTAAACACTAATTTTCTTGTAGTGACTGGAATGTGTTCCGAAGGTACCTTCATGCAGCTCTGCCATGATCCTTCTTGCTTCAGTCTTATCCACACAACGCGGTAAGATTGAATCATGGTTTCGCTTGTAGAGAATGCTGTTGCTGAGGAAGAACTTTGCCGCGAACCTTCTCAGGAACTTCTTGTCATTAACAGATACGCCTTCGGGGTATTCTTGAGCTTCAAGGTACCTCTTCACTTCATGATACTAGGGTTTTTCTGTTACCTCTTCGGTCTCGAGATCGTAGCAATGTGCAGGTTCATCCAACTTCCAAATAATGATCCGGGGCGCCTCGTTGTCCCATTTGACTTTGAACATAGAAGACATCGTAGCCAACGCGTCTGCTAACTGATTCTCTTCCCTCGGGAAGTGTTCAAAACTTATCTCCTCGAAGTGGGGAATCAACGTCAACACATACTCCTTATAAGGAATAAGATTTGGGTGTTTCGTATCCCACTCGCCTTTGACCTGATTGATCACGAGAGCGGAATCTCCGAAGACACTCAGAAACTTGATCCTTAAGTCAATTGCAGCTTGAAGACCCATGATACATGCTTCATACTCTGCCATGTTGTTGGTGCAGTTGAAACATAGTCGGGCAGTGAGTGGAGTATGAGTGCCTTTAGGGGATATGATCACAGCGCTGATACCATTACCCAAAGCGTTCGAGGCACCGTCAAAGTGCATAGACCATCGGGATCCTTCCTCAGGTCCTTCATCCGGTCCAGGTACTTCACAATCAGTTACTACCATGATATCCTCGTCTGGAAATTCAAAGTTCATCGACTGGTAGTCGTCCACTGCCTGGTGTTCCAAATGGTCTGCCAATACACTTCCCTTGATTGCTTTTTGAGTCGTGTACTGGATGTCATATTCCGTAAAGATCATTTGCCATCTTGCTATTCTTCCAGACAGAGCAGGCTTTTCGAATATGTACTTTATTGGATCCATTTTTGAAATCAACAGAGTAGTGTGAGTCAACATATACTGTCTCAGCCGGCGAGCAGACCATACCAAGGCGCAGCAAGTTTTCTCGAGCAGTGAGTACCGGGTCTCACAGTCGGTAAACTTTTTGCTAAGGTAATAAATGGCGTGTTTTTTTTGGCCAGACTCGTCATGCTGCCCCAGCACACACCCCATTGAGTTGTCCAGTACTGTCAAGTATAAGATTAGAGGTCTCCCTTCAACCGGCGGCATAAGAATGGGTGGTTCTTGGAGATACTCTTTGATTCTGTTGAAAGCGGCCTGACATTCATCATTCTAACGTACTACTTGATCTTTCTTCAGCAGCTTGAAGATTGGTTCACAGGTAGCAGTTAGATGTGAGATGAATCGGGCAATGTAGTTCAACCGTCCTAGAAATCCTCTGACTTCTTTCTCTGTCTTGGGAGTTGGCATCTCTTGTATGGCTTTCACTTTGGCAGGATCCACTTGAATGCCTTTGTCGCTTACGACGAAGCCTAGCAATTTTCCAGATCTCACCCCAAAGGTGCACTTGTTTGGGTTCAACCTCAGCTTGTACAACTTCAGACGGTCAAACAGCTTCTGTAGATGGTCAAGGTGTTCCTCCTCAGTTTGGGACCTTGCAATCATATTATCGACATATACTTCTATCTCATGATGGATCATGTCGTGAAACAAAGCAACCATGGCGTGTTGGTAGGTTTCCCCAGCATTTTTCAACCCAAAAGGCATGACCTTGTAGCAAAAGGTCCCCCACTGAGTGACAAAAGTGGTTTTCTCCATGTCTTCAGGAGCCATCTTGATCTGATTATAACCGGAGAAGCCGTCCATGAAGGAGAATACTTTATGCTGAGCAGTATTGTCAACCAAAACGTCGATATGAGGCAGAGGGAAATCATCCTTAGGGCTCGCCCTGTTCAAATCCCTGTAATCAACACACATTCGGACCTTACCATCTTTCTTCGGCACTGGAACCACGTTGGCAACCCACTGAGGGTAAGAAGTCACTACTAGAAACCCGGCATCAAATTGTTTCATAACCTCAACTTTGATTTTCTCGGACATTTCTGGACGCATACGGCGGACCTTCTGTTTTACCGGAGGGCATTCTTCCTTGGTAGGCAGGTGATGAACCACAATGTCGGTATCTAACCCAGGCATGTCTTCGTAAGACCAGGCAAATATTTCCACATAGTCATGCAGCATCTGAATCAACCGTTGTTTCACACTGAGCTCTAGGTTGGCACCAATCTTGACTTCCTTTCTGTCTGTCTCAGTACCCAGATTTACCGTTTCCACTGGCTCTTCATGTGGATGAATGGCCCTCTCTTCCTGGAGTAACAGTCTTGTAAGTTCACCAGGAACTTCGCAATCATCTTCACTTTCGTCTTCGGCTAAGTTGATCGGATTTTCGAAGTCATAACTGGCAGTAGCAGAGTCGTTACCAGTGAGATCCAGAGTAGATTGGAACCTGTATAAGTGAGTGTGTGTAAATATAGTTGTTTTGCAATATATAATAAAGAAAGAAAAAGAGTGCAAGATTTTGAAATGCAACAAACGTCCAATGTTTCTATTAATGATATATGAAAATGACACACAAAAGCCCTCACAAATGAAGCCACGGTGCCCCGGGTAAGACACCGAGCCATAAAAGTTTCAAAATATTGTCTGTTACAAATTCAAAACAAAAGAGTTCATTACTGAGTGACAAAAGTAATAGGTGTGAAGTCTTTGGCAGTCCAGTTGCTTGGTCCACTGTCGGTTGTTGGGTAGATCCAGCTGTCGAATTCAGATTCCTCCACGTCGTCTTCAATAGCATTTACCCCCGGGTTGGTGATGAATACAGGAGTTCTTCCAATCCTTGCCTTACGAACAGCCCTCTGAGCCTCTGCAGTGAAGCCCAAGCCAAACTTGTCGGTCTTCGGAGTAAAGTCAGGAAGTCGGCCCCAGTTTGCGCACTCACCCTTCTCAATAACAGCCCGGGCATCCTTTAATGAAGCCATCTTCAAAGGAGGGTCTTCAATCACAGTTTCAGCTGATGCCAGTGTCTGAGGCACCTCTTCAAAGTGCTGGAATGGAGTCTCAATGAATTCCCCATCCATCTCTATGTACCGGAACGAGTTGAGGTGGCTGACCATATACTCTTATTCCCCCTGAACTGTAACAATCTTCCCTCTGACCGGGTACTTAAGCTTCTGATGTAGTGTGGAGGTCACGGCTCCATCCTTGTGGATCCATGGACGACCCAGCAAACAAGAATAGGATGGTCAGATATCCATCACATAGAAAGTAGAATCAAAAACTTGAGAACCAACCCTGATTGGAATGTCAACTTCCCCATGTACCATCCTTTTCGAACCGTCAAAGGCCGGGACAACAATTTTACTAGGCTTGAGCTCTAAACCCTCGTAATCCAACCTGTCTAGGGCCTTCTTGGGTAAGACGTTCAATGAAGAACCGGTGTCTACCAACACATGGGCAAGAGTATTGCCCCTGCATTCAATGGAGACATGCAGGGCGTCATGATGGTTCTTTCCTTTGGCAGTCAAATCGGAGTCAGAGAAGCCCAACCCATTATCGGCAGTCAAGTTGGCCACACAATCGGTAAATTGATCAACAGACGTTTCTTGTGGCACATGGGCCGTCTTCAGGAAGGAAATCAGGGCCTTGGCATGGGCCTCTGAACACAACAACAGTGATAGCATAGAAATTTTAGAGGGGGTGTGCCCCAACTTCTCAACTACATTGAAATCACTCTTCTTGATAATCTTGAGGATCTCCTCCATCTCTTGCTGGGAAGCTTCAACATTGGTTGTCTTTGGTGCCTCCGTCAGGGCAGGAAAATCAGTAGCAATCCCTTTGCCCCGAGCGTCAGATGACTCGGCAGCAGGGGTAGAAATAGGAACTTGATTAGGAAGGGAAGCAGGCACACTTGC